TGTCAGTGGGATGCCATTCCCCCTTGTCCAAAGTCCTCCCCAGCTCTCTTGGAACCCCTTTAGATACTGCAAGGCCATAGTAAGGTATCTCTGGAGCCTTCTCCAGGCTGAACAATCCCAATTCTCAGCCTTTCCTGATGGGAGAGCTGCCCCATCCCTCTGATCATCTTCACAGCCTCCTCTGGACTCACTCCAACATCTCCACGTCCTCCCTGTGCTGGGACCCCGGAGCTGGACACCCCACAGAGGGATGCTCCACCTGAGCAGACTCCACAACCACTCACTGCCATCTCCTTACCACCCTGGAGGTGGCTGTGTCAGGCTGGAAAGCCCTGGAGGTTCTGAGATGGATTAATTCCCTTGATTCTGTCCCTGCTCTCGGAGCTGCTCTCCAGGGAAGGGGCAGAGCTGTCCTGTTTGGGGCTGTTGTGCTGGCAGGGGTGCTGGGGAGCCTTCCCTCATGCTGGAGGTCTGGAACCCATCCCTGAGCTCAGCGGGGCAGTTCCTGGAACTCTTTATCTGGGGCTGCAGCAGGGAGGGTGGGGGCAGAAGGTGCTGCCTCAGCCTGGAGCATTCCCCTGGGCACTGACTCCATTCAGCAATTAATTAAAGCACAGAGCTGGCTGATCTCACCAGTCTGAATCCCACCTGATTGCTGGGAATTAAGAGGAGCTGGAGCCATGACTTACTCCTTATGGGCAGCATTCATTGGATGGATAGTAAGTACAGATGGAAATCCTGGGATCCTCCTCCCACTTGCTGTCTTGGCATTTGGGTACTTCCAAATTAAAATCCGTGGGCTGTGACCCATAAACTCTCTTATTGTGGTGGGGTTTTCAGTGTTAGTTGGTTTCAGTCTGATATATTACGTTCTGATAATTCTGTTAGTGCTCCAAAATACATAATTCATCTCTTAGTCCTTCAGATTCTTAGAGTAATTGTAGAATAATTTAGGTTATAAAGGACTTCTTGTGCTCCTCAAGCCCAGCATGCCATTCAAAGCAGAGTCAACTACAAAATAATATCATAAAATATGAACAGGTGGAGGTCTATTGCTGTCTTCCTGGCATGCTGTTCCTGCAGGGGAACAGCTGGAATACTTTTTGGGATTTGTAAGAACTTGTGAGCTCTGCTAAAATGCAGTGTCACACTTAATGGGCAATTTAACCACATTTTTTGCTTCTTGAATTAAAGCAAGGACAGGAGAAAATGGGAAAAAAAAATTAAAAGCAGCCCTTTTCATGAAATCAGCACCATTTTTTCTCTGAGTTGTATATTAACAAGGCAGATGGTCAAAACTTCCTTCCATTGTGCAGTTCTTCTTCATACCCAATCCATGCCAGTGGAATTCAGCTCTGAACATTCACACTCAAGCTGTGGGCTGTCACTTTGGCTGGCTGATGTCTCGGGCTCCTTGGCAAACAAGGATATTTTTGAAACTGTCTGTGCAGCTTCTGACTCAGGAGATCTCTCAGAGCTGGTGTTCCTCCTGTGCCAGGTCTTCATTTCCCATCAGTGCAGGAGGGTTTTGCACAGAAATGTCTGCACTGACCCAGAGTTAGGGGTAATTTTGGGGCTGGTGGGACCAATGTTGTGTGTGCATCGTTTTCAGGAACGGGAAATTGCAGGAGTAATCAGCCCTGGACTGTAGCCAAGCCCAGCTTAATTCCAAGGGAGGACTGAAAGAGGCATAATCATAATGGCTCATTTTAGAAGAACCAGAGGCAAAGCAGGACACAGCTCAGATGCTTAATTTCATAGAAAAATCAAGTAGGTTTTTTTCCCTAGCTCCTGGTGTAAGAATTGGGAAGTTAAACATCAAAGCTTGGAGAATTACAGCATTTGAAACCTGGATCAGGCGTGGGTTTTATTTGATTTGGGAGATTTTTCTGTCATCATAAATTAGAAAAGTTCTAATTTGGGTTTATCTTGTGTGTGCTAAAAAGACACCAGACCCCTCTTTCCTCCTTTTTTCCTTTGGAGTGATTTGTTTTCCAGTTTCCTGAATATTCTGTTTATGGAGGAAATGTCTGTACCTTGCCTGGCTTCATGTGTTGGCTGCCTTGAGTCTTTCAAGAGTGTGATGACAATAGAAAAGAGATCTTCAAAAGAAAAGCTAAAACTCTTCATTCTTGCTAATAATCACTTTCTGGCAAGGAAAATCTTCCTGGTTTGTTGTCACTTCCTTCCTCAGCACCCCCTCTCCTCTGAGCTGCTGCACAGGCTATAAATTGCTTTTCTGCACTGCTCTCGGTGCCCCCAGCCAACACCTCCTCCACCAGCCAAGGAGAGGATCAGCTCCTCTTCCCACTCCTTATTTTTCTGCTTGGTACCTAGAGAGCATTTATTTTTTCTAATTAATCATTTGGCACCTTAAAAAGTACGTGTTGAAAGGGTCTGTCAGGGAAGGACACCATCGTCTTGAAATAAGCAGCTTCCTCCAGAAGCAAAATGAAATAATGATTCTGAATATAACAAAATCTTTAGAACACAGAGAACTCTGTATTTCTTAGAGTTTGGAGTGTTTTATTCCTGACATTTAGGCTTTGTTTGTTGTATTGAACTCAACTTCACAGTACCTTCAGAAGCAGTAATTTTATTTCCTTTTCAGGCTTATTTTGGGTTTAGCACACAGAAACAACTCTGCTAATGGTGTCATTCTGGGCAGCAGTGTAAAATGTTGTTAGGTATTGCTGAGCCTTCGCAGGAGTGGTGTCTTTGCATCTAAACTTGACCCCCGTGGCTGCTGAGCCGTTGTTATCTGGGCTGTCCACACCCCTCCTGCACAGCCCCCACAGCCCCGATAACTCACACTGTGTAAACAAGGGCTCCCCACTGCAGCTGCTTCTAAGCTTTTTAGTCTAATTTCTAGCAGAAACAGCATGAGTGAGTGCAAATAAAATGGTGCCATGTGTAGAGGTAATGGTCTTTAGTTGTAACCAGTTGAAAACACTGTACAAATTGATTATAAGGATAGGGTAACTCATGATGTGGGATTGGCATTGGAAAAAAATCATAATAAGCATCAAGGTGGAAAATAATCCCCTGACTGAGCCTGGACAGTTGGGAGGGAGGTGAGAAGAGCCACTGGTATTTGTCAGTGCCTTTCCTAGAAGGGCAGCCACTGGCCAAAGGTACCATGGGCACTGGGTGAGAGCTGAGCCCAGGAGTCCCTGGAGCAAATCATGGGACTGGGAAGCTGCAGAGGGAATTTGTGGAAGGCAAAACACACAGCCAAGCCAAGCAGAAGGAAATGCCCTGTGGTTTCTAGGAAATACCAGACTGTCTCCTGTGTTGGAAGCAGCGTGTGCCTGGCTCGCATTTGGAATCTTGTACCTGGCATGGACTGGGAAATGTAAGAGCTTAACTCGCCTCCAGGCATTCATGTACTTATCTCTATTTAGATATCTGTGCAGGATAGGTTGGACTCCATCTTTTTGAGGGTTTTTTTCCAAATTCAAGATCCTATGATTATATAAAGTGCAAGAACCAGTGAATTCTGGGGCTGCAGGAACATCTGGAGTATGAAAAGCAGGAAACGTCTGTTCCATGTAACTCACAAACCAAGCCTATTTGACTTGAGTATTGCAAACAGAATTTTACTTGGTCTTTAACTTTGAGATGCATGGTGATAGTTGGAGCCTTTTGTATTTTCTTTGCTTGGTGATGGTTGCAGTAGATGGTGGAGCATTTTGTATTTTCTTTGCATTAGAACACGAACTCTTTGTCAGCAGCAAAGAGCATGACTTAAGTGGCTGTACCACTGGGAAATAAGAACTGATTATGAGAACTGGAAGTGTTGTGGGACTTCTTCAGTAGCCAGGTGTCAGCACTGCTGAATTATTCTTAATGGTTTCGTAGTCTTAAGGCAGCATTCTTCAGGTGTACAAAATTAAGGAAACAAACATGCAATCTCTCATTTTTCCCCCAATAATATGAAGGAATTCTGCATATTAAATATGGGATTTCTTAATTACTGTTTCTTTGTGTGAGCTGCCTGAAGAGGAAGAGTTGTGTTCTAGTCCAGCAACGTGCTCTGCTCAGTGAGTTGGAGGCAGGGGCTACTTACAAAGAGAAAAATCCTTGGATTTTTCCAAGGGCAGGTGGAAAACCATGTAATTTGCTATCAGATAAAATCTTGATAAGCTTGGAGCTGAAAGCCATGTTTGTATTTGTTCAGGGTAATGAAGGTGAAAGAGACCAACAGTTAATTATCTGCTCCCAGTGTAGGATTTCAGGAATTCTTGAAGCTCCCTGAATAACTCTGCACAACTGCAGGGCTGGGTTGACAGTGGTGTGCTGCAAATCTGGGGTGCCAGCACTGACCCACTTCTCTCCCTGGAAAGCTGAGGGCCTGGGATCCACTCATTCCTTCTCAGAAAGCAGCAGATCCATGGAATAAAAACAGTCAGGAAAGGAGAGGTCAGAGTAAAACAAAGCAAACCCACCATGGTCTGTCCTGGGTTGGGTTTGGATGTTACATCCTTTTGTAGAAGGCTTTTTGTGTCTGGCCCTGTGCTTATTTATTTATTTATGTATTTATGCATTTTATTTTGAATGTCTTCCAAGGAAAGCTTGGGGGAAAAAAAAGGATCATTTTATTAAATGGAGGAAAGGAGCTGTGGAGTTGATGTTTGCCTGCTGTGCTTGAGGGGATGAAATATCATTCCCAGCACAATTCCTTGTGCTTGCATAGGTGCTTTGAGAAGCTCTCTGCAACTTGAGATAAGAACAATATTAAAGCAGCGTGGAGTTCCTCAAACCAGGGAGTGAGCTTCAGCCTCTGGAATCCTTTATTTGCCCAGGAAAACAATTATTGTAATTATTGTACAGAGAATTGCTGTACAGAGAATTGCCGCTCCGACTTCACAGCAGTTCTTGTGTTTAAGCTCATTCCCAGTCGGCCGAGTTTAATTGTCAGATTCCAACCCATTGCTGCCAGTAAAACCTGTTCATCCCTCAGGCAGGGGCTGGAGCACTGACTGGAGGTGTTTTTGCAGGACCAGCTGAGGCAGTGCTTCTCCAGGCAGCCGCCGGGGGCGAAGGACACGGACACGCTGGTGCAGGAGCCCGACAGCCAGTACGGCACCTGGAGCGAGCAGCGGCACAGCGGCGACAGGTGAGGCCCCGCTCGGCTCAGGGAGCAGGGCAATGCTGCAGTCCCACCATCCCAGCGTGATTTCATGCTGGAACGGCCTTAAAGATCTTCTCATTCCAGCCCTTGGCTGTGGGACACCTTCTGCTAGAGCAGGTTGCTCCAAGCCCTGTTCTTGGACACTTCTGTTGGTGAACGACAATGATTGAGTTAAAGTCACATACACAAATTTTTACATATAACAGCATCTCTTGCTTGCAAAGTTTAATGACATTTCTTTTTCCAGTTTAAATTAATCTTCTTGCAATCTAGGTCTAATTTTCAAAGTTCCGTTTGCTTTTGCCAAAGCATCCTGTTTATCAAATCTCTTACGTTAAACAAGTCCAAAGTCCATAATCTGTCTTGTGTCCTCCAACATTCTAACACACTTCTATTTGTTTTCTTTGTTTTTAAGTCTGATTTTCTGTCATTGCCTCTCATTTAACAATACTACCAGGTGGGCTGAATAGCAAAATCCCTCTGGAATAGCAGAGTGGCAAAATCCTTCTGGAGCAGGGACTCTGGGGCTCAGGTGGGGTGACTCAGGGTGCATCTCTCCATGCCCACATCTCAGACTCTTAGGTGTTTTATTGGTGGTGAAGTGGAGGATGAAATGGAATATCAGCTGAGCGAGACTGACATTGAGTATTGCTGATGCTTTTCTGTTCTTAGAATGATTTAGTGAAATAAACCTAGAGCAGCAAAGTGTGAGGTTTTTTATAGTTCACACCTGTTGTGTAAATTACATCTTGATCTACCCTGAACTTGTATCATGTCTGTTCAGTGTGGTATGAAAATAGCATTTTATCTGGTTTTTAATGCTATACTTGTTGGGATCTTACAGCAGACATTAATGTCAATTACGTTTGGTTTGTTCTGCACTTGAGAACTGTGTGCTATGAATATTTTTATTGCTTGTGAAATCAGGGTAAGGACCAGCTTGAGGTTCAGCAGCCGAGTGAGTGCCAACAGCGACAGCCAGGCTGCTGTAAAATTAACTTGGATTCCAGGATGGTACAGACATTTCTGAGATCAGTTTCTTAACAAAGGTGCTTGTCTCAGCTTCACAGCAGACAGCACTGGAGAGTTATTTCAATCCATCCATCCTGATTAGAGCAGCTCCTCCTAAACATTCCGGTTCACTGAAGGACTGGACTCAATCCCATGTGCTGGAATTTTGTTTGCACTGCAAGAAGTGTTTAGATTTTGCCTTTTTTACAGTGTAATGGTGACAGTGTAGAGACTCTTCAGCACTTTGCCACCCCATTGCTCTGCTTTATTTTGACTTACAGCTCATTGCAGGGGAATTACTGCTGTATTAATTCAGGCACTTGAAGAGAAATGAGATTAATGTACCTTTAAATAATGGAAGTCTTCCTGGAATGTATTGAACGTGCATTTTGTCTGCAGTTTATTTTGGATGAAGTCCCTGCAGGAGCAGTGCAGACGTTCTCCTCACGTTGCTGTGGGTGCTCTGAGCAGGGCTCTGCCTTTGGTGCCTCCTCCTCCTCACCCCAGCTGGGGGCAGGAACTCGCAGGAGATGTTGCTGGTTCAGTTTTCCTGTTTGGCCTGGCTGAGTTTCCTCAGAGCATTTCCGCTGCCAGCCCCACGGTGTGACATCCTGCAGGGACCAAACGGTGTCACAGCCTCCTGCTGTGCTGGGGGAACCTCCACTCTGGGGCATTTCCACTACTGCAGCCATAGAGGGGTTATTTTAGGAGTGTTCCATCAGTGCTTCTGTGAATGACCTCATCTTCATGGAATCACAGAATCCCTAAGGTTGGAAAAGACCTCCAAGATGAGTCCAGCCTTCACCTGAATCCCACCGTGCCCATTAAACCAAGGAGTGCCACCTCTGCTTGGCATTTGGACACTTCCAGGGGTGGTGACTCCACTGCTTCTCTGGGAGAGGAAGGGAATTTTGAAATCAAAAGCCATAACTTCATGGCAACACGGTGCTTTTCCTAGATGAGCTTTGGGAAGGTGAAGGAAGGAGTATTTTCCTCTAGAACTGAGTCACTGCTGGAATTAGCATGAGGAGCATCTCTGGGCTGGTTCCAGTGGGCTTTGGCCAGTAACTTCTTGGGATGGACAGAGGTGAAACCATCTCTTCCCATTTGGAGATGTCAATTGGATTTTTCTTAGTTTAGCTAAAAGATTTTTAGTTTTTCTCAAGTGCTTGAATAAGCTTTTCCAAATTGGCACTGAGTAAAACTCTTTTAGGTTAGAACAATCTTCATAAGGAAAATTACTGTTTTTTACAGGAAAGGAATTGGTTTTAGATGGTGGAGCCTACAGCTCTGATTCCTCATTTCACAGGCTGAAGCAACAGCTTTTTATGGCCTCTATACACTGTCTTGCTAAAACTAATTACATTTAATTGCAGTTGAAAGTGAGGATTGCTGTCAGTTTATTGTTCATTGTGATAACCATCCTGCTGGGTTTATGTGCTCCACGTGAGGAATGATTTCTCAGAGAAGTGTCTCTAAATGTACCTGTGGAGGATCAGGGGCAGCTCATGGATATGCTCACAAACCCTGAAATCCTAATGAAGTAATAGAAAGAGGTGCATGATATATCTCAGTAATGAGAACTGGAAATATGTTTTCGGTTTAATTTTTCTGAAGGGAATTTCCCCCCTAATTTGCTGTTCACTGGAAGGAATCCACTGCACATAACTGGGTTTGGACTCCAGGTATCCCTCCCACATTTGGGGATGAGCTGTGCCATAGGGGTTGGTGTATGGAGCTGTAATTGTGCAGAAACTCCAAAGGAAATTCCATTGAGAAGGTTTGGGAATGAGGAACCACCAATCAGTGCTAATTCAGCTGGATTTCTATCACATCTTGCTCTCAGATATTTCTGTTTTAAAAGCCACAGTGAATTGTATCAGATGTAGCAGGGAAGAGACTTTTTGCAAATCCACCAGGATCCTTTCAGCACACGCTGTAATTTCCATGAAAGGTCCTGCAGATTGTCCCTCCTCTCTCCATTCTCCCATATTGCAGTGACTCTAAAGCTGCAGATACCAAATGTCATTTGAAACAAAAACCCTAGACAAAAACTTTCCCCCAGAGCTCATTAGTGCCATTCTTAATTATCCTGGGGCCCACTGGTGAGGGAGGGAAGCAGCATTCCCTCTGCTTGTGTGCTGGAAACCCTCTGGGCAGTGCCTGCTCTGCCAGACTGGACATTGTACCATGTGCTGGTGCTGGTGGAATGCTGTTATCCAGCAGTAAACTCCTGAATGGTTTTCTCCTGGGGATGCTGTACCAAATACTAAGGTTTATTGCTTAAAAGATGTGCATAAATTGATATATACATGGGAGGTTTAGGTTTAGAACAGTTTTCCTAGATATGTGGCCAAGAAATGCTGTTTAGTGGCAAAAGACTTCTATCAAGAGGAGAAAAAAAAATCAGAACTAAATCCTTTAGGTTTTGGGTTTTTTTCAAACTGGGAGTTAGAAGCAAGACAGCCCAATTTTTACTGACAGTAGAGTCTTCCCTTCAAGGAATACTCCAGCCTTTGTGACAAAGGCAGACACAACTGTGTCCAGCTTTCAGTGCTGACCCTGCAGCTCATTCCTGTCAGTGTAGGCCACGGGAGGAATTCCAGGAATACACTGGGAGCATCCCAGCACCGGGGAGCAGGTGCTGCTGCCCTCCTTTGCGAGGCAGGAGAAGCTCTGCCCATGGAGCCCTGCCTTAGGCTGCCACCTGGTGCCCAGCTCTCTTCAGCTCCAGCATTCCTGAAGGAAAAAATCCTGTGGCTGGGTGGAATCCACCCCAATCCCCAACACACTGTGAACCCAAGGGGTGAGGGCTGGGATGCACACCCTGCTGCTGGTACTCAAACTTTCTGTTCCTCTTTTATTTAACCCCTGTGATCCAGCCTGGCCTGGCAGGTCTCTGTTTGCCCTGAACTCTCACAGGTTCCATCTGCTCCATTTGCAGCTTTGTGGGAGAATCTCCTTGCCTGGACAATGAGGTGGTGTCCGGGCGGAAGCAGCCCGCGGGCAGCCACCCGTCCTCGCTGTCCTCACAGACTGAGCCTCCCTCCCTGCCTGAGCACCATGACTTCTCCAAAGAGCAAAGGAGCACCAGCCTGGACCGTTCCAGCACGGACATGGACTCCACTGATGGCACTGATGTGCCTGCTCCAGGGGACACACTCCCTGAGGACAAGAGTTACTTCTCCTTCATTGATGTGAGTTGCCATCGTGTGTTCCCTCCCCAGTTCCTTCTGGAATCTTTGCAGCCAGTTTTGCCATGCTTTTCCCACACTGAATTTTGCCAGATGTTTTCCTGCCTGAAAAGTTTAGGATCAAAACTACAGAGTTCTTCTAAGTCTCTGTGGTGCTTAGGTTCTGAGAGATTCCATAAAGCTGCTGGCCTTGGATAATCAATCATGGAATCCCAGACTGGTTTGGGTTGGAAGGGATCTTAAAGCTCATTCAGTTCCACCCCCTGCCATGGGCAGGGACACTTTCCCCTAGACCAGATTTTCTCCAAGCCCCATCCAACCTGGCCTTGGACACTTCCAGGGATGAGTATTGGAAGCATAAATAAATAACACAAACAGCCAGTGACTGCTGTGCTGTCAGCCATGCAGATTTAAAGCTGTTAAAAGCCTTCACTAATATTTTTCTTATTTACAATTAGTTTCTTTCCACAGTAGCTCACAGTTGCATTTCAAAGGATTTTTTTTAATTGAAGAATCTTGCATTTGGTGTAAGACCAGGAGTTTCTGGCCTTACACAGTTAATTAGGTCTAGTGCTGAAAGAACTTTGTTTAGTTTGGAAAAGCCCTCTAAGATCATTGAGTCCAACTGCTCCCCCAGCACTGCCAAGGCCACCACCACCATGTCCCCAAATGCCACATCCACACAGTGTTTTAACACTTCCAGAAGGTTTTGTTTTTTTCCCTGGGCAACTAAAGGTGTCTCTGTAAAACAGTAATAGCTCTAATTGCAGCTGGCAAATGCTGTGTCATAAGTCGTTTATTCCTGACCTGAAATCTTTTGAAAAAAGGAGCAAACCCACATCTTCTGGAGAAGGGGAGGCTGAAGGATATTTGGTGGTTACAGGCAAACCTGTAACAGCACATTGCTTTAAGCAAGTAAATAAATTACAGCTCCTTATTTTGCTCTGTAAATGTTACTGCTGATTGGATGTGTTGGAAATGACTGATTACAGAAGGTTTCTGAATGCTGGGACACTAAACTTGGAGTGTCCTTATTGCTGGTGAGTGGCTTTGAGTGTTTGTGGCTGGCAGGGAAGCTGCAGCTCTGCTCTCCAAGGGAATTTTGTGTAGTTGTTCTTTTTAGACCCCAAAATCAGGATTCGCCTTCAGCTACGAACAGCTAGCAAGGCCTGTATTCATTAAAAACTCTAGGAACTAAACTCCTGATTATTGCAGGTTTTTTTATATTAATTTAGTGCAAATTATTTATGTAATTCAGGTATCCACAGCCTAGAGAGGTCAAAGAGTTGCACCCAGTTAGCCACAAAGTACCATGTCCTCATCATACGCTCTCTTTAATACGATTTTAAGTGACTACAAAAATAATAATCAGGCAAATATCCGTTTTAATTGGTGAATGCAATCAGGTGGGTTGGGATTTCACTGTGGAGGAGCTGGGGCTCATTCCCAGGTGTGTGTTTCTGCAGCACACAGCTGTCCTGGACTCCAGTGCTCTGAAGACTCGGGTGCAGCTGAGCAAGAAGCGCCGGTGCCGGGCGCCCGCGTCGCACTCGCTGCGCAGGAGCAGAGGGCTGGACATGGAGAACAGGTTTTCCTTGACAGAAGAGTCAGATAATGGCTGGATGTTCAAAGATTCCACAGGTAACCCCTCAGTTGTAATGGAATAATTGGTTGTGGTCAGCCTGGGTGCAAGGGCAGGAGTTGGTAAAAGGTGTTTTTTAGATACTGCCCTTCATTCCTGCTTGAGTGCAGGAAGAGATGTTGAACAAGGCAGAGATGAAAAGCCAGCTCATGGTTTCCCCCTTTGCTTTTTTTCTTTTTTTTTTTTTTAACAATTAATTAGAAGAGAAGAAAACTATGCAACAGGAAGATTCTGAGGAGGAAGACAAGATCCAGCACACTCCAAGGTCATCTTCTGTGCAAGCCCAGAGACTGCCTGTGTTCCCAGGGATGGATCACTCTGTTCTCAAGGTGAGCTCAGGCAGAGCCCACTGGGTGGGAGATAAACCAATTCAGTACCTGCAGATGTTTTATAAGTAATCCCCTCACTCATTTCAGGACTTTTTTTTTTTTGTTTTTATAAATCTGGAGTGATCTTTTCTGCATTAAAAAAAAAAAAAGGCTGGATTCTGGCTTGAGCCCACTGGGTGGGAGATAAACCAATTCAGGTGCTTTATAAGAATCCCCTCACTCATTTCGGTGAATTTTTTTGTTTGGAGTGATCTGTGCTGCATTCCAAAAAAACCGGCCTGGATTCTGGCTTAAAAGGCTTTTTTTATCTTTCTATTTAGGCCCAGCTGCGGAAAAGACAGGAGTCTGAGAGCACTGGTGACATCGGCTCTGCTCAGCTCTTCAAATCCCCCAAAGCACAGCTCGGCACTCCCGGCAGCAGAGTGCTGCCCTCCAGTGTGGAAAAGGAGGACAGGTGAGAGAATCCCAGCTCGTGCTCTTCTTGGTGGAAGGAAAAAATAATGCAACAAGCTGTACGTTCCTTTTGTGTTGTTGTTGTTTCTGGCAGGAGTTTTCATAATGAAAGAATAAAGAGTTTTTTTGGGTTTTTTTTATATCATAGGTCAGAAGAAAAGTCTCCTCAGTGGCTGAAGGAGCTGAAATCAAAGAAGAGACAGAGCCATTATGAGAATCAAGTTTGAAAAGGTACTTGGGTAAGAAGTGGGGCTTGGTTGGGTGCAGGTGTGCAGTGACAAACTCACGTTTCCTTTGATGTGTTGGTGTCACCACTGTGGCCCCACCAACACTGCCCTTAGCCTGCCCTGTGCCCCAGTCACAGTTCCACTGATTCTCTGCACAAAATTTGATTTCCATAACCCTCACTCTCTTGGGATTTCCCAAAGTTTGAAAACTTTGTGTGGTTTCAGCACAATTCTGGGTGGCTCTTGAGCATTTAATGCATTAAATAGACACAACCCAGGTGGCACTACAACAGAAAACACATTTTATAGGGTTCCTGCTCCAGCTCACCATATCACACCCTTCCTTGTTTTCCTTTCCAGACAGTGATTCTAACTGGGAGAAGATAAAGAAGTTTAACAGAAGCCTTAACTCATCTGAACCTAAACCCCCATGTCATGTTGCTGCTGTTTGCTTCCTGCCTCAACTGCTCTGTGCATGGTGCCTTCCTGTTTTGTGGAGAAAAGCTGCTTCAGTTCATAGTCAAATACAAAGCTGTGTCTGTCAGCTCGGGGGGACAGTGGCACTTGAGAGCTGCCTGCCAGGAGAACCCCCCTGGGTCACGGTTAGCACTTCAGAAAGTCATGGAAAACAGAGAAATTTGGGAGTGCTGTGATCCAGGGAACGCCCCTCGCTGTGGAACAGACTCTGTAGGTGTTCACCTCTGGGAGTTGTGTCTGGCTGGGCTTTGTGTTTGTTTATGAAAATAATAATTTTAATCAAATTTATCTTTTTTTTTTTTGTGAAAAAAATAGTAAGCTCCTATTTAGAATGAAATTTGTGGAAGGTGAGAGTGGAAGAACAAATCATGTTTACTGCCATATTGAAAAAGGAAACTTGATTATTTTTTGTAAAATGTATTTTTGATTGGCTTGTATTTACATGTGATCTGCTGACCTGGCAGATGGAGATAATTTTTAGATGAACAAAATGTTAACTTTTGTCACTCTTGAAGTGGTATATTCTGTGTTTTGTCAGCATGTGGAATAATTGCTTCATTGGAATGTCTTTCCTAAAAATGATCAAGCAATAATGTCAACCAGTTCTCTTTAAAAAAAAAAAAAAAGTAAAAATATGTAAATACTGTTTTTATAACAAAAAAGGAAGGGAAGAGGGAGGATGTTACACTCATATCAGGGTTCCAGTTAATTGTTGAATGTCACTTTAATAGCAGTTCAGATAGTCCCACTTCATATTTTTATTTGTTAATCTGTAAATACCAGGTTTAAGTTTTTATTTTTATGCTGATTTTGTGGGATAACCTAAATGTGATCTTCAGTTTCTCAGATGATTTCCTGTCTTTCCTTTGGCAAGATGTGCTGATAGCAGAGTAGAGCTCTCCTGGACCACACGGGTGTTTGGGTATCCCTAATTCTCAGATATTCCCTGTCTCTGGCTCATTCTGAAACACCGACCCCCATGGCCATGGAGGACAGACTCGATTCTTGCCCCAGATAAGTGCTCTTTCAGTAACCTTTAAAGTCTAGTAGCCCAGGGAGGGAGGTGACCCCAGGTTGTTCCTCAGGCTCAACCAGGAAAACGTGGAAGAGGGAAAAGGAGAGTGGAGAGCTCTCCTCACCTGGCAGAGCTCCTTGGGCTGCACTCCCCACGTCCTGCTGAGGGGCTCCTCTGGATACAAACCATAAAGCACCAGCACTTCAGCTCCTTTTCCTTTTTGTCTTTTTTTTTTTTTCCCAATCAGCGTTTTGGGAGCGCGGCTCCCATGGGGCCTGCCCAGGCCAGTGTCTGTCAGGCTTGGAGCTGCCAAAACCATGTGCCAATTCACCTCATGGAGGAGTCACAGGGGGGCATTTGCAGTCCCAGTCTGCAGGAAATAGCAGCAGGATGAAATAGCAGCAGGGTGGCAGGAGACAAGTCCCATCTGCACATCTCCCGAATCTTATTCCGGTGGCAGCTCCCTGTGCTCCCTGGAGATGAGATGGAGACATCTGTCTGATGTAAAAGTCTTTTCCCTGTTGCTTTGCCCCGTTTCTCATGGGAGCTGTTGCCACTGTTATTTTGGCAGCCCCTCTGCTCCCCACAGAGCAGTGATCCCCAGGATTCTGGTGGAATTTTGGGGATGGGCCATGTCAGTGCAGCCACCACCATTGACCAGCTCCTTTTAAAACCTTGCACAGATTTCCTTCCCTCTCCTTTAGATGATGGTGGAGAAGGTGGCTCTTGGTGTGTTTTTGGGGGTATATTCCTGTGGCAGCACCCAAGGGTTCCGTGGTGTGTGACACCCCTGGGCCAGCCTGGCAGCAGGTGCAGGTGAGGAGGATGATGGTGGCTGTTCTCACTCACATCAGGTGGGGCCTCCCATGTCCAGAAATCAGTCCCTGCTCACAGGAACTTTCACACAGGCTGCGTTTTCCACTTCCACAGGTGACAGTGTTGTGTTCCCAGCAGCTGGAGGATTTATTGGTTCTTGGTCTAGGCCAGAAATTCTGTAACTGTTTGTGTGGAGGAAACTGAGGGGATTGACACGAGGTTTCCACACAGCCCTTGAATGTGTTTGCATTTCCACATCTGCTTGGACAATGCACTGAAATTACTGTATTGAGTAGTTTAACCTACTACTGAGAAATGTTTAATGCTTAAATGTCTAATTAAAGAGCATCTTTAGAATGTTGTTGAATGGGAAAGTGTTTTTTCTGCTCTGTTATTTCTTTATATTGTACATGGATTAAATATCTACTTCCTTCTCTTCGGGTTATCACTCTGTAATAAAAGATATATAAATATGTTATTACTTCTTAAATGATAGAACAGACTGTAATACACTTTATATAATTCTATTTTAATTCCAAATAATGCTTCTTGGAATTTTTTGTGCTTTCACTTTTGTTGCCACGTGCTTTTTCCTGCTATTTATTTGAGATGGAAGTGAGCTCTAAGGTTCCTTCAGATGTGCTGCTTCCTTCACTCCTGGATCCTGCCCTGGAGCAGGTTCAGCTCTTGTCCAAAAAGTGACGCTGAAGGTGATGGAGGCCCTGTCATGTCCTTTGTCTCTCCCCCCAGAGCTCCTCAGCTGTTTCTCCTTGCTTAAAAAGCCACATCAATATTGGGTTTAAAGGTGGATGATGAGTTTTGTGGAATTCAGGAACACTTTCTGACTGCCCTCCTCTCATGATCCCCAGCTATCCCTGCTCCAGGTGGCATGTCAGGGACTTGGAGCACAGCTGCTCCATTCCAATTTTTATTGGAATTCCCAGTTGTGGATTTCTTCTTTTTTATTTTTCTGTTTGCGAATTCACCTTTTTAACATCTTCAGTTTGGTCCCCATCCACCAGAGCCTTTCACTTCCTGTAGAGAAAGAAGCAATGCTTGGTTTTCCAACCTTTGACATTCCCCAGACTTTCCATAGGACTTAACCCCCACACTCCATCCCCTTTTCCCTCCCACAGAAGTTTGTTTCACCCTGTTCTGTTTGCAAACTGAAATGCACGTGGGGCAGATTTAGGAAGACAAAGTGTGACCTGTGGAAGGTTTGGAGCAGCAAATCCCGATTTCTGCAGGGCTGGTGTGTTTCAGGGGCAGCTGGGCAGTTCTGGGGTGCTGCCTCAGGGGGTGGCTCTGCCTCACCAGGTGTGTCCAGGCACAGAACCTCTGGGGTGGGTACCCACAGCTGTCACTGCTGTCCCCAGGCCAGCTCTGGGGGTAAAACAGGCCATTCCAGTGGAATGCAGAGCTGTCACCAGAACTGTGCTCCCTGTCAGCCCAAGGTCACTGCACCTCCCTGGAGGACTCTGGTGCAGGAGCAGCTGCAGCCAAGTGAGGGAAGTGTTGGATCCATCCCTTCAGCCCAGTGCTGGGAAGGAAAACAGGTATTTGCTTTAATTCCTTTTAGAAATGGACTTTCAGGAGGTGAAGGCTTTTGGGGCCAGGTTTGACAGGGCTTGGAGCAACCTGGTCTGATGGAAGGTTGGGGGAGCAGGGGGGCAGAAGGAGATGAGCTTTGAGGTCCCTTCCAACCCAAATAATCCTGTGATTATGTGAAGCCACCTCCATGGAGCTTTGAAGGGATTTGGGGTGTTCTGGCAGGGACTGCAGAGTCCAGGCCTAGCTCTGCTCACCCTGGGAGTGGAGAAGGGTAAGGGTGGGAATCCTTCCCAGCTGGTGGTGAGCTGTTCCATGGCTGTCCTGTTCACTCAAGAATAAATGTATTGCAAAAATATAACCTGAAAAAACTTCTGGCTCTTCTCGTGGGATTGGCAGAGGAGGAGATCCAAGGTCTGGTGGTTTATGAGTTTTTTTCATTCCATATAAAACAAAATGGTATCAGATATGCTTTTGAAGGAGCTCTTGTGGAGATTAAGCTTTTATATTGCTCCTTGTAGCCTTATAGAGTCTGTAATCTGGGTCACAAGAAATACATAGATAGAAATCACATGGTGTGATAAAAATCCTATATTTTGTGTTCCACAGTTTACTAGGGGATAAAGATATTCTGGCTGCTCTATTTTGTTCTGTACCATTACAGTTCCAGTTTAGCTTTGCCAGGTATTAACAAAAAAAAAAAATCTATTTTCTAACAGTCATTTTTCAAAGGGGTTTAAGAGGCTGACAGCGAGAGGAAATTGAGGTCTGTTTGGGAGAGGCATCAAGGAGATCCAGCGCCCCTTCTGTCATGTTTTTGGAATTGCCTTGACAGTGTGGAGAGCTGGGAGAGGCAGATCCAGGGCCCTGGGGCTGTGGCAGAGCTCGGTGAATGAGGCTGCTGGGAAGGAAGGGACTGGCACGAGAAATTCTTTGTTTCTAATTTGTTGAGGACAGCTGATGTTGTGTTTGGTGAGGCAGAAATGAATCCTTTCCTCCTGAGCCTGTTGGAGCTGTGGCACCTGTGGGACAGCTCTGATGGGGACAGCAAATCTTCACCAGGAACCACAGGATGGGCAGAATGAGGCAGAGTCACTTGGAGACACCTGGGTGATCCCTGTCACACCAGGCCTGGAGCGTCACCCAGCGAGGCAGGGATGGGGCTGAAGGGCTTCATTCTAACACAAACAGCAGGAGAGATTTCCATCCCTCTCCTGTTCAGTCTGTCCAGCCTGGCCCAGGGCATTCACTTTCCTGGCTTTTACACTAAAGGTTTTGTGGGTAGCTGTTGATTTCAAGATGAGCCACACTCAGCAGGTAGAAAAACCTGTAAGGGTCGTAGTAAATGGGGATATGTGCAGCTGGATAAAATATTCCCTGAGGAATCAGGATGGTTTGGGTCTGAAGGGACTCAGAGGTGAAGAGGGAGTCTGGCCTGCTACCAGCAGAGTGAAATGCTCCCAGTTTGGTGCCTGGTGTGAAATGCTCCTGGTTGGATGCCTTACATCATCCTGTGCCTGTGAGGATGGACAAACCCTTGTGCCAGGCTCCAGAAATCCCTTGTGACACACCCCAGGATGTGTTCCCAGCGTGTTCCTGGGAAATGCTGGGCAGAGAAAGAAAAGGAGCTCCATGGAGAGAACCTGCTTAGGGTCAAAGCTAAAGCAAGAACACCAATCTGGAAATTGGAAGCTCCAGCTTCCCGCCAAGCTCTCAAAGCCAACCCCAGCCCTGTGTCACACCTTGCATGGAGCCCTCACAATCGGGGATATTTTGCCCGGTTTTTGCTTCATGCTGCACTCAGTTTCCAGGCTAAACCCTCCTGTGAACTGCTGATGGCAGAGTTTTCCAGAGAACCTGGCAAGAAGCAGCGTGAACGTGCTGATGTGAATTTCGACGTTAATCTTCTGTAAATCGAGCGGCCCGTGTGCGAGGGGCGGCCGGGAGAAATCCGCATGACGCTCCCGCAGCTCGCTGCTATTGACAGGAAATCTCATGGCTGGAATTCCGTGGACGCAGCTGCTGCATCAGCGCCCGGGGAATTCTGCTGTTCTGTTCAGAAGCCACCCATAAATAGCGGGGCCGGCCGCGCCGCCCGGCACAGCGGAACCACACGGAGAGGTAGCACTGCTGGGACTGCAAGGGGCTTTCCAAAGAGTCCGTGTGTCTGAGCCCCCCAGCGAAGGGTTTGGACAGAAGTGAAGCTGCAGGGTTTGGTTCAGGACCTTATCAAACTGCTTTAAGCCCCTTGGCAGCGTGGCGTGGCCGGGGAAGGCGTGTTCCAGTGTTGGAGCAGAGTTTTGTGGATGTTCCTGGAGAGTGAAGAGGGGGCTCTCACCATCTTCCCCCCGGCCAAGACAGCAGCAGCAGCTCCAGCTGCCGGGTTTGGTGTCCCCTGGGATGCTGGAGCAAGGGAGAGGTGTCAGATTTATGTTGTGGGGAAAGATGTCAGCAGCTGGAAGCTGAGAAATTCCTGCTGGGAACAGAGGCGGGGCTGTGAGATGGGAGTTTAGTGGCCGCTGGGTGAGCTGCCCTGGGCAGAGCAATCCGTGTCACTTGGGACGTGGCTTGGTCCAGTCCTGCGGGTGCCTGGGTGAGCGTTTGTGTGTGCAGAGGGAGAGGAGGATGGATAACGGAGCTTGCTGCTAGCCTGGACATCCCTGGGGATTTACAGCTGCTGCCGCGGGGTCTGTGCTAACCCCTGCTGCCTGTTCCGTGCCAGCTTCATCCTCTGTGTGTCACCACCAGCCGTAAATCCCGGTCCCTCCCGCCTTAACCTCCTGCAATTTGGGTTTTCCAGGCACAATGACCGAGCAGCAAAGTCCCCCCGAGCAGATGGCGACTGGGGAGGGTGCTGGCGAGCGAGGTGGCAACTACAAGGTATACTGGGCTGGACTGGGCTATACTGGGCTGTACTGGGGACGTCTGGATGCCGGGTGGAACCAGTGCCAGCACTGCAGGTGCTGCTGGGGACAGGAGTGGCCTCCAGCTGTCCCACAGCAGCAGTGGGTGGTGGCCCTGCTCTGGTGTGGAGCCCAGGGTGGGCTGCAGGTTGGGAAGCAGCTGGGGCTGGGATCTGCTGCTGCTGCCTGCAGGAGGGACGCTGCTCCCTGCCTGCGTGGCTGCCAAGGCCGTTGGCAGGCCAGGCTGGTGTGCAGCTGCCCAGGGATTTAGTCCAGGAGATGAAGCATCCCAGCACAGCAGGATCAGCTGTGGGCCAGACACTGAAACTCCCAGGTGTGTTTGTAGGTCGGGATTCAGCCCGTAGTCCAGGAGATGAAGCATCCCAGCACAGCAGGATCAGCTGTGGGCCAGGCACTGAAACTCCCAGGTTGGTTGAAGGTAAATCAGCTGGAGAGGATGTGGTGGATGCAGAGCTTCCCACAAAGCTCCTGGACAGGGAAGGCTGGAGGTGGGAGCAGATCCTGCCACTGGGAGAGGGGTGCCAGCAGCTGGGGCTGTTTGTTGTTTATTTGCTCCTGAGGAACCTGGGTGTCACCTCTGTCCCTTGATTCCCCCATTATGTGGTGTGTGCAGGAGGCTCTGCCCTTGTCCCAGACTCAGGTGCTGCAGCTGGGACCCCTTTGGGACAGTGCCAGGGGGTGCCTGGTCACCCCACTGACCCTCCTGGTCCCTGAACGGTGCTGGGCACCCTGGGCCCTGCCCCGTGCCATGCTCTGGGCACTGGCACTGGCTCCAGCCCACCCTGCAGGCTCTGCTGAGAGCAGGGCAGCCTGGGCAGGCACTGGGGTCTCTGCACCTGGCAGGGCTTAGAGGGAAACACTGGATAAAGAGCTCGTGCCAGGCCAGCTCAAGGGCATGGCTGGATCTGGAGGCAGCAGGGATAAGGAAATGATAATGGGCAATGACCAGGCTGGGGGTAGGAGAGGCAGCCTGTGGCTCAGGAATTCTCTTAGCCCAAACCTTCTGTGTTTCCAGTGCTGAGTTTGATCTGGTTTTCAGCCTGTCATGGACAAAATTCCAGCTTGTGCTTTACCAAACAGACAACCTTGGCTGGAGCTCTGTCAGGGCAGAGGCAGTGGCAGGACCCAGCTCTGCCGGGCAAGGAGTGGCATTGGCACAGGATGGGATGGAGGGGCACTGCCAGAGCCCTTTGATCACCACTGCCCCCATTTCCTGGGGTGTTCCCCTGCTGTGGTGGCTGACAACATCTCTCCCCACCTTAGATCACAATCTACGAGCTGGAGAATTTCCAGGGGAAAAGGTGTGAGCTGACAGAGGAGCTCCCCAACATCACCGAGAAGGAGATGGAGAAGGTGGGCTCCATCCAGGTGGAGTCTGGCCCGTAAGTCTGGGGTGGGGAAGGCAGAGCAGCCCCAGGGGCTGACAGGGAGTGCATCCCCCTGACCCTGGGCTCCTGCAGGTGGCTGGGCTTCGAGCGCCAGGCCTACGCCGGGGAGCAGTTCGTGCTGGAGAAGGGCGACTACCCCCGCTGGGACTCGTGGTCCAACAGCCACAGCAGCGACAGCCTGATGTCCCTCCGGCCCCTCCAGATTGTGAGTAGGGCTGTGCTGGGGTGGCCACAGCGCTGGGGACCAGCAGGGGACAGCCCCTGACCCGCCCTTTCCCCCAGGACAGCGCTGACCACAAGATCCACCTGTTTGAGAACGCGGGCTACGCCGGGCGCAAGATGGAGATCGTGGATGACGACGTGCCCAGCCTCTGGGCCCACGGCTTCCAGGACCGCGTGGCCAGCGTCAAGGCCCTGAATGGAACGTAAGGATGGGGACACGGGGGACACCCCAACAGGTTCCTGCCCGTGGCACTGTGGTTGGTCCCCCAGAGTGGTGGCAGGGGCACCTGGCACAGCCACAGCAGCGGGGCAGCTGCTCCCACGGTGCTGCTCGTGCCCATCGTGTCCCTTGTTCCTTCCCTGCTGCCACCTTTTCTCTGGCCCACAGGGAGTCATAGGGACACGGCAATGTCCCCAGGGCTGGATGGTGGCTCCTTGCCCTGACCCACCACAGAGCAGTGGAGCTGTGGTGCCTTGAACCCTCCATCCCCTCCTAGTGCACAGCATTTCCCACCTGGGCACTGCCGCTGCTGCCTGTGCGGTGGCACTTGGTGACACAGGAGTGGCCCTGAGCAGCTGTGGCAGGCAGAGATGGGGATGGGGACACCGGGATGGGGACACTGGGATGGAGATGAGGACACTGGGATGGGGACACTGGGATGGGGTTGGGGACACTGCCCCTGTCCTGGGGGGTGTGGGGTGGGCACTGCTGAGCACTGCCTTGGTCCCCACAGGTGGGTGGGCTACGAGTACCCCGGCTACCGGGGCCGCCAGCACGTCTTTGAGAAGGGCGAGTACCGGCACTGGAACGAGTGGGACGCCAACCAGCCCCTGATCCAGTCTGTGCGCCGCGTGCGGGACCAGCAGTGGCACCAGCGGGGCTGCTTCGAGAACAGCTGAGGGACCCCCAGCCCCCCCCGGGGCCCTGGCGGGGTCCCCCGGCTGCTGCCGTGACCGTGGTGATTTTTGTGCAAAAACCTCAATAAAGCTCTGAGCTGGAGGCTGCCGGGGCCTGCCTGGTCCTGGGCTGGGGGAGGTCGGGGAGGGGGGCTGGGGATGGGGATGGGGATGGGGATGGGGATGGGGCTCTGGCCGTGCCCAGCAACCCCGCAGAGGACAGAGGGGGCAGTGCCAGTGTTTGCAGTGTTACACAAAGGCTGCAGCTTTCCAAAAATAACGCCCGGCGCTGCCGCGTCAGGGTTTTTCCAGTGCCTCTGTCCCTTTTCACAGCCGCTCCTGCCCGCTCCCAGGGCTGCTGGCCAGTCCCCGGGCAGGGAGGGGGCCGGGGGGATGTGGAGCAGCCATCCCTGAGTGGTGCCAGGCCCTGTGCGCTCCAAGGGGGGCTCATCCCATGGTGGGACAGCTGTGCCCAACCTCAGCGACCTGCAGGCTCTCCAGCCTGTCCCCAAGGAAGTTCCCACAGTCCTGGGGTGGTTTCTCCCATGGAATGAGCTCTGACATGGGGAGGCTGTCCTGGGGGCAGAGGTGGGGGTTCAGGGGTGCCACAGGGTGCTGGTGGGACACTGAGCTGCCCTGGCACTGCCCCAGGGGCACTGTGGCCACGCTTGGGGACCCACTGGGCTGGGGCAGAGATGGGCTTGAGTCCCCCCGAGGGCTTTGTGCAGGTCCCTGAGCAACCCCCAGGAGCTTTCCCTTTTTGGGGGGCTTGGTGGCTGTGGAAGGCGAGTGCCTGGCCCCGAGTGGCAGAAGCTGCTTCCAGAACATTCCACAGGGCTGCTACGGCCGGGGGATGAGGCACCACCACTGCCCAGGCTGGGATGAGCTAAACCAGCCCAGCCAAGGGAGGGGATCACTGGGGCCGTGCTGAGCACTGAGACAGCGCCCTGCTGAGGGGCTGGGACGTGGCTGCAGGGCTGCACTGGGGCCTGGGACAGGCCCATGAGGGTCCAGGGCTCGGGATTAATGGAATGGATTAACCCAGGAGGTGGGGAGGGATCCATCTGTGGGGCTGCAGCAGGAGACACAGGCAAGGAAGGAGGATTCCAGGGCTGGGAATGCTGGAAACTCTGGATCACACCCTGGCCTGTCCATGGCCTGATGGGTTCCTTGCAGAGCTGCAAGGTCACCTTGGTCCCTCTGGCCCTGGATACTCCATCACCTGGGGCTGGGGCAGCTGCAGACCCCAGGGCTGACCCCCCCCATGTCACTACCAGGCCAGGCTCTGGTGACAGCACCCTGTGGGTGACCCTGTCACCAGCCATCCTGGGGTGGGGCATGGGGCAGAGGTGACCCTGGGGGGCTGCAGCCCATCTCCTGCTGTGGGACCCTCGGGAGGTGCTGTTTGGGGTCTGTTCCTGCTGGGTGACACTTGCTGGGGTGACAGGGGGGGAATCCAGCCCCTCTGTGGGGTGAAGGGGTCTGTGGGTGCTGCACAGCACCAGCAGTGTCCCCTCTCTGTGAAACCTCCTTTGCTGCAGCCCCCAGCCCTGCGCAGCCTCCTGCCTCAGCTGCTGGGACAAAAACAGCAAAGGGACAATGACAGCAAAGGGACAACGCCAGCAAAGGGGCAATACCAGCAAAGGAACAATGCCAGGAAAGGGACAAAGCCAGATAAGGGACAACACCAGCAAAGGGGCAATGCCTGTAAAGGGGCAATGCCAGCAAAGGGGCAATGCCAGCAAAGGGACAAAAAGCCAGATAAGGGCCAATGCCAGCAAAGGGACCCTGGTGCTGCCCTCTCCCCCCTGGCTGTGCTGCCCACCCAGGCACACCCCAGCCCTGAGGACTGTGAGCCCCTCACCACCTCAGCTTTGTCCTGGTGTCACCGAGGGGCCCCTGGGGTTCTTCTCAGGGACCCCAAAGGAGCCCAGCACCCCCCCCGAGTGCAGCCCAGCCCAGCCCCGGTGCCGGGCGCGGCTCCGCGCTGCCCCCGGCGCTGGCACGGCCGCTCCCTCCCCGGGCACAGACGGGCAGAGCCGGCGCTGCCCAGCGCTCCGGGGCGTTTTATCGCGCATGGAAAGAGCCGAGCTCAGCAGCCCCGGCGGCGGCTGCCCGGCTCTCGGGGGGATCAAGTCTCTGCCCCCGAACGCCTGAAGCGGGGCTGGCGGGGCTTTGTTGGCCCGGCCTGGCCCGGCTCTTGGCACGCGTTCGGCTGATGCTTGCAAACTCCAAATCTCCTCGCCACCAGCCCGACAAAGCGGGTGACTCGAATGTGACAGGTAATGAAATAACTCGGGCTTGGTGCTCGGGCAGACAAAGGCTGCGGCGGATCAGCTGACCCTGGTTTTCATTGGGGTTTAATCCAGCATTCTCGCTTTGAATCAGGCTTTAACTATTTTGTAAATAGTTTTGGCACCTCTCTGCTGCAGCTCGGTATAAATTCCACCTCCCGGGCCCAGCCCGTCACTGGCTCAAGCGGGTACTGGTATAACTGGTAAGACTTTGCTATTTGCTGTCCTCTCTTTTGCCGTAGCCTCCTGCCGACCCCCGGGGCCGGGGTCCCTTCCCGGTGCCAGCAGCGGCTGAGCCGGGGACAGTCCCGTCCCCGCAGCCCAAAGCCACCCGTTCCTTTTTGTCAGGAAGGAGTTTTCACCCCTTTTGGAGCTGCTCGGATACTGAGGGTCCCTCTGGGCTCCTTCCCGGGGGTGGCAGTGCCAGGCTGGGTCGGGAGGGCTCGGCACAGGCTCCTGGGGATGGGCTGGCAGGGGGGAGCCCCAGTGCTTCTCTCCATCGCCCCTTCCAGCACCCACGTGGGACTGGGACTGGGAGCTCAGCTGGACAGGGACAGCAGGAAATCCTCGACCACAGGGCCTGGGCTGCACTGGGAATGGTTTAGGAATGCCTTAGGCTCATGGTTCCCTGTGCTGGAGACCCCGGGCAGGTCCCAAGGAGCCCGGGGAAGCTTGGGGTGCTGAGCAGCCCCAGCAGAGTTGGTCCCTGGCACCCCCAGGCTGAGCCCATCCTGCTGCAAGCCCTGGTCCCACGGCCCTCTTCCCTGGGCAAACTGCAGGGCATGGACAGAGGGCACGGAGCTCTGAGCAGGGTCCCCAGCGTGGCCTCAGGGGCAGATTTTAACGTGCTGAGTTTCCCTCCCAAGGCAGCAGACAACCCAGCCGATGATGGCTTCCGAGCACCAAATGCCAGCCTCCAAGCAGCAGCAAGCCAGCTCCAAGGTCAGTGGGAGCCTGCCCAGCCCCGCAGCGGGGCCAGGGCACCCTCAGCCTCTCTGGTGCCCAAATCACAGCCGGAGGCAGTGCTGGGAGCAGCCGAGCTCCCCTTGCCGGCACCCCCGGCTGGTGCCAAGCACCGGCAGCGCTGCTGAGCCTTTGCAGCGCAGGGATGGGGAATAGGACTTTGTGCCAAGCACCGGCAGCGCTGCTGAGCCTTTGCAGCGCAGGGATGGGGAATGGGAAGTTTTTGGCATCCCTCGGCCTCGGGGCAGGTGGAGCGGCTGGGAACAGATCAAATGCCGATTTCCCACCACTGAGCTGATTTTTGGCATCCCTCGGCCTCGGGGCAGGTGGAGCGGCTGGGAACAGATCAGGCGCTGATCTCCCACCACCGCCGCTGTCCCCTGAGATCTGGGCTGGGCTGGTGGCCCCGGGGCTGTCCCCGGGTGTCCGGGTCGCCGTGTCCCTCTGGTGGCTGCTGTGCTCCAGCCACATCCCGAGTCCCTCAGCTGTTTGATGCCCGCTGTGAGTGTGGGCATCCCTCTGCCAGGAGCCCCGCGGCTCTGGGACAGAGCTGGCAGGGCCTCGCGTGACACCTGCACCCTCAGACGGGTGGCAGCGGTGCCTTGCACTTGCAGGCTCCTGAAAATCCTCTGGAGTGCAGTTTTGGGAGAGGGAGAGGTCTGGGCTGCTGCTGTCCTGGTCGGGGACAGCGTGTGCCCTCCGCGGTGGTGGCAGGGAGGGCGACACCCGCGCTGAGGTGCTGCTCTCTTGCAGATTGCCATCTTCGAGCAGGAGAACTTCCAGGGCCGCTGCCATGAGCTCAGCGGGGCCTGCCCCAACCTGAAGGAAGCCGGCGTGGACAAAGTGGGCTCCATCCTGGTGCACTCCGGACCGTACGTGAGGGGCCCGGGGGCCTGCGGGGGGTGGGAGGGGGCTGGGGAGGAGGGGTCTCCCCGCTGCCACTCCCGCATCGCCCCGCGGAGTTCCTGCGGCCAGCAGGGCTGAGCTGCTCGCCCGCCGCACCCCGGTGAGTGCCCGCTGCCAGCAGGTGAGCAGGGGGACACAGGGGGTGAGCAGGGGTGACACTGGCGCCTGGACAGGCTGATAGCCCCGCTCAGCGTGGAGGGAGATCACAGAGCTATCCCCAGTTTGGTTTCCCTCCCTTTGGGAGCGGGGACAGGTGAGACTGGGACCCGCTGGTGCCCTCTCCCCACCTGCCGGCCCTGTGTGTGCTCTCCAAGCCACGGGCTCCGGGCAAGGGAGAGCCCCCGAAAAGCCCCCGGAGTGTTCCCAGCCTGCACCCAGCAGTGCTGCTCCCAGAACGAAGGGACAGCTGGTAGGGGCACAACCCCAGCTAGGACATTTGGGTGATCCCGTGAGTCCCCAGGGACCAAGGATGGGTGGCCACCGGTTCGGAGAATCCCCAGCGGGCAGCCCTGAGGCACCCAGTCCCGCCTGGCACCTCCCTGGCACCTCTCCCTGCCTGGCAGGGAGCGGAGCACGGCCGGGGCTCAGCCCGGGCGCTCGCCGGGGGCGGTGCCGGGGCCGACCCCCGCTCCGCTGCCCCCTCTAAAGCGCGTCCCCTGCTCTCTTGCAGCTGGGTGGGCTACGAGCAGGCAAGCTGCAAAGGGGAGCAGTTTGTGTTTGAGAAGGGGGAGTACCCCCGCTGGGACTCCTGGACCAACAGCCGGAGAAGCGACAGCATCACTTCCCTGAGACCCATCAAAGTGGTGAGAGCACCCAGACAGCCACTACCCACCCGCCAGACCAAGGTCTGCAGCCAGAAGTCTTGCCCAGCCTTCCCCCGCCCTCCCCAGCCCCGCGGGCGGAGGGGCACCCCCTCCTGCGCACCCTCGCCCCA